CAATATTATTTATCGACATACTATTAAATTTTTTATAGCTGAATAATTACAAAAGAAAATATACTTTATTTTTCAAAATTGAGAAGATAATATTTTTTGACAACACTTTGTAAATTCTGTAAAATATCTATATACACTAAAGTAAATGAATATACTTTCAAAGAAATGCGCTATAGTATTTTTGAATATATTCATAAAAATATATTAAATGCATGATTAATATTCTTTAATTATTAAATCTTTATCTGATGGTATTAATACATATAAACTTTTTTCATTAAATTATGAGATATCTGATCATTATCTTCTAAAGGTTTTATAACTTTTAAAAAATCTAATATTTTTACTTTATACAATTATATATATTATGAAGTCAATTTATATAATAATAACATTTTAGCATGCGATCATTATTATCATAATATTTACCTGTAAAAAAGTTTATTTAAATGCTTTATATACTTAGATTATCTTCAAAAAGAGGTTAAAAATAATTTTAATGCATTAATAACAATTTAATAAAGAAAGAAAAGATTAAAAATGATTTTATTAATGAAAATATTGAAAATATAGATGATGATAATAGTAGTAAAGAATTTATTAAAACAAACAAAAATATCATTTTTAGATTTATAATTTTTATTTTATACATATAAACTTATTATAATAATAAATAATAAAATTTATAATATATAGGAGGTGATCAGTAAAAAAGGAGAAAATCCACTTTTTAGTCAAAAATTTTTTATTGATTCACTCTGCTAATCATAGTCATATAAATAAAATTAGCTTAATAACTAAAATTACTCAAAATTTGTAGATTTTCCCTTTTTCTATTAATCGCCTCATATATTAAGCTAATTTAACTAGAAATTAAGCATAAAGTGATTAGAAATTATTAATTCTAATTTAAAAATTTGTGTAAATAATATTTGATTGGCTGTTTAATATATGATAATATAAAAATTCTATGATTTAATTAGTCAGTTTCATATGATAATTTTGAAATTTTATATAACTAGAATAGTCTCTCTTATAATAAAAGTATAATTGATTTTTTTTTTAGCTATTTTCTTCCTTTTTATTGTAAAGATTTTATATTTTTAATTTTATTTAATCCTAATCTATTTCTTTTTTTACTTTACATAAAGCATAATCAAAAATAATTTAAATGCTAATTATATCAAATAATTTTTTCTTTTAAAAAATTATTTTCCGTAGAATACTACTAAGTAGTTAAAAATTTAGTATTACTTAAATTAATATCAATAGCTTTTGATATATATGATATTTTTATTTAATACATTAATTCTTTTTATACAACTTTGATTTTTCATTTTTTAAATATTTTATTTGCATTTATTAAAAGATCCTGAAAAGTTTCACATATACAACAAATTTTTAAAAATTAATTAATCAATTATTTAATATAAATATAAAAAAAATCTAATAAATCAAAATTATTAAATAAAATAATATAAATAATCTATTCCTAAAAAATTTATTAATTATTACTAATCTTTATAATCTGTATATAAAAAAACTTAATAATATAATAAATCAGTAATTTTGTATAATACTTATTAAATATTATAATACTTTGATGATGAAAAGTAAAATAATCATTTTGAGACAATTTTTTAATTGCAATTTTAAACTATACTAGTCTAATAAAACAATCTGCAAATATTATGATTGTGATTCTAATTTTACAATTATTTTTTTAACTTAATATAAAAGTATTATTTTATGAATTATTTTACTTACTCGCTTACTTTCTCTCTATATATATTTAACACATCATTTTTTTATTTAAGAATAGGTTTAATAATAATAATAATAATGCTGATTTATCAAAAATAAAATCATAAGACAATAATAAGAGAAAGCATCAGTAGAAATATTGAAGAAGAATTATCTAAATAGAATGATGATGAAATTACTTTACTTATTACATATATTCAGAATAATGTTTCAACATAGTCTAGTAATAAAAATAAGTTTTATAATTCAGTTTTAGCTAAAATTCTTTCAAAATTTTCTAGTGAATAAATAAAAAAATAAAATAGGAGAATTAATACATTAATAAGATAAAATTAAGCAAAAAAAATAATCAAACTGGAACTGCAAGAATAAACTAAAAATGGTATGAACAACTGAATGAGATTTTAGGAATACATGAAATAACAAGTCTAAATTTTATATCTGATAGATCAACAATCGATATTGAATCTATAAAACAAGAAAAATAAGTTATTGAATCTAAAAACAAAAGACCTAAAACTTCAACTAACTCTATTAGAGATGCTATTTTAGCAATAAGTTTGGCGAGAGAAAAAATGTGAGAAAAAGTATAAATTATAAGAAAAAGAATTAAATTTTAGAAAGGAAAGAGCTAATCAAAAATTAGTAATTGAAAAGGATAAATTAGAAATTGAAAAATTAAAAACACAAACAAAGATTGAAAAACTTAAAGTTTAATTAAAACTTGAAAGACAATTAAAAAAAATGGAATTTAAATATAATAATAAATAATAAAGGTTTTATTTATAATAAAATTATTTTCAAATATTATATTATTTCTTTTATATTGATCTGCTAATTTTAATTCATTATTGTTAAAATCTTTATTTTCTTGATTTTTGTCATCTAAATCTAAATCTAAATCTAAATCCCAAATATTTCTATTAAGTTCAAAAAAATTTATGAAGAATTATAACATAATCAGCAAAAAGAATTAAATGTTTAACTTTTTTAATGGAACATCCTTTTAAAGAAACAAATCTTGATTTTAATCTTCCAAAAGCATTTTCTATTACAACCCTATGTTTTGAATGTATTAAATTAAATTTTTTTTGTTGTTAATTTGATGATAAACGAGAAGTTATTAAAAATGATGAAATTGAATATGCAAAATCTCTAAGTAAATAATCATTATTAATAATTAATTCATTTTTTTTTATAAAAATTTGAATTTTTATAAACTTTTGCATTATGTATTGAACCTGATCAACCTATATTATAACTAATAAAAATTTTATGAAAATTTACTATTCTTTGATATTGAATTAAATAACATTTTTTTCGATTAAAATATAATTTTAGAAAATTAGAAGGTTTATCATTTAAAATTAAATGAATTCCATCAATAGCACCAATTATATTTTTAAATTTACCAATTAATTAAAATTCTTTATAAACTAATTTTCACTGCTCTCCTTTTAGTCATTAAACAAATAATGATTTTTTTGAAATTATTATTTTGATTACTTTTTTTATATATAAAATTACAATTCCTTTTACAATACCAAATTGTGAATATATTTCAAAAATATTACTTTTACCTTCAATTCTATGTAAAAATACTGCTAATTATAATTCTACTGGTGCTTATTTTTTTTTGTCCTTTAATTTGAAAATTTTCATAATCAGAAATTAAATTAACTAAAATTTTAATATATTCAAATGGCATTCATAATATTTTTTTTTAAAATATTTATTATTATAAGTTGATAAAACTTCATAATACTAGTAAGAAGAATTTAGAATATTATAAATAGGTATTAGAATATCTTATTTCTGAAAGTAAAAATAAATTAAAGTTAATTAAATCATTAACTTCAGTTTCTTCTTCAAAATCACTGTTTTTTTCAGAATCACTTTCACTTTTATAAAGAAATTCTTGAATAGTTATTAAAAGAAATACATTTTCTATTTATTGTTTTTTAAACATTTTAGAATATGCTGTATCATCAATCTATACATCAACTCTATTCAATTTTGTATATTAAAATTATAAATTATGATTGGTTAATTATAATATGTATCAAAAAATACATCAATTAGAATTGAATAGGCCTATTATGATAAAACAATATTATGTCATTCTGTTCTGCATATTAATGAACCAATAGAATTCTGTATTACTGATTATATGTATTTCATAAAAATTAACATTAAAAAATTAAAAAAATATTGATTTTTATCATAAATTCTATTATGCTTCAAATTAGAATGATTATCGTTTCTTAATATTATATATAAAATTAAAATTATATTAAATATTGATTATATAATAAGAATTTTAAATTAATAATTATAGATATAATATAAAATATTTATAAAATAATATTCAAAATATCAATTATATTAATAATTAAAAAATTTTAATTATAAAATAAATTTAAAAAAGATATGCTTTTATTTAAAAAAATTTAGCAATTAAATTAAAAATTTAAATTTTTAAATAATATTAAATTTTTTAAATTCTAATAAAATTTTATTTTGATTTCTTTTAAAATCTTTATATATTTGCTAATATTTTCTTTTGAAAATTCCTATAACTTTTGATTTAACTAATTTATATATCTTAAAAAAATATGATTTTAATATTAATAATATTAAACTAAAATTTATAAATATATTTTAATTATTAGTTTAAAGTATAATAAAGGATTATATGTTATGTTTATGTAAAATAATACAAATATTTAACTATCTATTTACTCATTAGTAATATACAATTTAGATAAATTATAGTATTACTCTAAAACTTAATTCCTATTCTAAAATCTGATTACTACTATTACTACCTTATAATCTGACTAATACAATTATAATCTATTCACTATTCTTTAACCTGGCCTGGTTAACATAATCATAATCTGACTACAATTATATAATCTAATATCTATAATCTGATTAACCAACTGATTTTAATTAATGAATATTAGGACAATGAATAAAACTATTAAAAGTAAACTTATTTTACCGGCAATTTTCCCAAATAGTCAATCGCGAAGTAAAGATTATAATTTATAATATTCTGTTACAATACACATAACGGTTCGCGCTTTTTGATCTATAATGATCTTTCTATGTTATTTTATGTAAAAGATTCTTTAAATAAAAAAATACACTTAAGGGCAGTATTTTCAGTATTTATTTTGTTGAATCAGGTTTTTAAACGACCAATGAAATTCCAATTTGGAAACAAAAAATCATTTAACAATATGTAAATCTGTTAATTGATCATTATTTGTAATTTCCAGACCTTTCTCACTTGCTAAATGCAATAAGCTAACAAAACATAGCGGTACCGAAATATCTTTCATCTTTCTTTGAGGATATACTTTCTTTAGATCACCAATAACTCCCGAAAATGTCGTATTATCATCTAACGTTTTCCACATATTTTCCTTCAATTTCTTAACGTCGATTCTTTTTGCTGTCTTGGCGTATTTGATAAACTCGGGTTTATTTCTCTTTGTCTGAATTACCAAATTATCACCAAATTCGCCCTCTAATTCGTCCTCATCATAATCGTCGTAAAAACAATCTCCAGCAGTGTAGATAGCTAAATATCAATTTAAAAAAAGTTAAAAGATCTATCTCATCATTATTATTAAAAATTTATAATTAGGGACTTACTCATGTCTGGTAAAGCTGCTGAATAAATAATAATGCTTATTAATTTCTAACAAATAATTTTTATAAAAACGATTTGAATTTACCTACCATCATCGGGCTCGGGCTCGGGCTCGGGCTGTGCTTCATATTGGCGTTTCGAGTTAAGCTACGAAAAAAAAAATATAATACAATCAAACGAGTATATTACATTCTAAAATAATGAAAGTAAAATTTAAATGCTAAATAATTACCATAAATTCAGGTTTTAAGAATAATTGAAGCAATTGCTTTGACGAAAAATGCATATCGTCGGGAAGTAGGTGACCATGTGGTACTTCTTCGGCTAACTTGGGCGCATTTATTGTATTTCTCCCAGAAGCAAAAATGATTCGCTCATCCACATCCTCTGATTCAATAAAATTAATAAAACCCGGCTCTTTTTTCTTCTTCTCCTTTGTTTCTCCTTCAATTTCTATGGTTCCTTTATCTATTTAAGGAATTAAAATAATTAAAATTTTAGATATAAAAAATTTGCAATTGTAAAAATGAAAACTAAACAGATATTTAATTACTTTTATTAGTTCTTTTTAACTTCCAATGTTCAGGACCCGCCCAATTACGTAAGAATGCAGAATCAAAATAAGAAAACAATTCGTTTTCATTATTGACCATAGCCATGACAAAATCCTTTTCCGTCAATCGCGTATGTGGATTCATATCGTCTTCATCGAATACACCCGAAACATCATAATTATTACCAACAACTTCATCATCATAATCCCTATTTAACCCTTCATCATAGTCATTTCTATCAACTTCTTCATCATCGTCATTTCTATTAAATTCAACAACATCACTATCAACTCCATCAACATCATCATTATTATCAAAATCTAGATTGTTATCTCCTGAAAGATTAAAATCCTTCAATGAAGGACAAATCTCCTTGTTGAATATTTGTTGGAGTTCTGAGAGAAATTTTGCTAAAAAGAGATGATAATAAATTTATTAATTTAGTAAATGAAGGATTCAAATACTTGAAAATCCGATAATTTTACCCACAACGATGTTTGGTAATGTCAATTTTTGGTTCGTTATCATCTTCTGTAGTCAACGTATCATTGCCGTTTTCATCAGGTATGGCATCACTCGCATCGAAGATGATTTTGCAGTCCCTATCGACTGACAAGTGGTTTAATAGCAAACCTCGAGCGCCGCCTTCATCAAAGTCTGCTGAAGTTTTTTTAAAAAGCGGATCGACTGAGAATTCTAAGTCAAATTTCTTTACAGTCAGGGCACTATAGTCTTTAGCCAATGTCGTTTCCGATCTTGTAGTCTATAATAAATTTTCAAATTAATATTTTAATTTCTAACAACGTCCATGTAATAATATTATTAACCTTTTTGCGAGTGCGACTTTCGGGATTGACATCATCGTTTCCATCGTTCTCATCGTTATTTTCTTTGAAATATGTATACTATGTTAGTATCGATCTCATATTAAAAAGTAAGGATACAATAAATAAAAATAAAAAGTACTGGAGTTATTTGACAATCCACTTAAAAGTTTTCCTGTTTCTGTTGCTACAGAATCAACGCGTGAAGTGTAAACCTTTACACATCCATCCAATGTACATGAAGCCTTTTGAAAATTTATAGAATCGCCTTCTTTCAATAATGTTATTTCATGAAAATAATCAATTAATGCAAGCTTCCAACTATTGTTAGCATTAATTTTCTAATAAGAAAAAAAATATTACTATATTTTAGTTTAATTTTGCACGTAAATGAATAATGAATAAAAATAGAATAATTAATAATTTACGTTATCGGTCGCCATTTTCATCCATTCTTCAAAATTAATATGCATTTGTTCATCTGGTATCTTTTGAACAGGAGTGACTACTTCCAAAGGTTTAATCGAGTTTCTTTGGCTTGGAGTTGACGCGTTTTGACTACCTGAACTACCGGCTCTAACAGGAGCGCTATTACCTCCAGAAACATTTAAGGATTTTCTTCGCATTGAGTCTGCTAAAGATTTTCTACGCGATCTGAGCTCTGAGGCGTCGTCGTTTAAAGGAGCATTCGTTTCTCTGAGGTTTCTTAATGGAGTTCCGAGCGAATGGCGACGTTTTGATGCAGAAGTTGACATATTCGGTTATACTACTAAAAAATTTTATATGTATCAAGAATAATCGAATATCGGACAGAGCGCGTTGAATTGGCCAGTTTATATAGACATAAAAACGCGTTTATTATTGATTTAATTGGTTAATACTCACGTGTATATAATTTAATAATTTCTTAAATAAGTTAATTCAAAATTTAAATAAAGAAAATTTTATATTAAGTTATATATTAAAATAGAATTTATAAACATCAAAAATAGTATTATAAATAGGGAGGAGCATGACTGAATTTCCATTTATGCATAAATGTTACACAAGATTTTTATATAAGAATACATATGCCGAAAAGAAGTATCATATGGTGACACCCTAAGGACAATTATGATTGTCATAAAAAAAACTTTTACTAAATTGTTTTTCACTTGCTTTACGATAGAAATGTGGCAACCCATCTCTGAGATCTCTTAACCTGCATGATTTTTACTAGACATGTTTTCTCATAGTAACATTAATTACGTAATATTTATATATTTATTAGAGATATTTTTATATAATTAATATATTTATTAGAGAAAAATTTACAGTTAGTATACATTTATTGTTTTTATTTTTACATATTACCAACTTTCTATTTGATTAATTTCTATTGTAAGTTTAGATAAAATATCTAATGTTTCATCTATCTTCCCAGAATTATCTTCATCTTTATCTTCTGTTTCTATCTCCGTATTATAATTAACAAGATCCTCTAAGGTAAATACATCTGCTGATTTTTCAATTTGTTTTAAGAATAATTCAATATTTTTAACCACTCCTTTTTTATAGAATTCCTCATAATAGATACATCTTCCGTGATAATAATCTGAATGATAGGCGTAATCACAGATAAACATTATACTATTATCATCAATAAACGAAAGTTTGTATTGATCACATAATCCAGGTTGTGATGGACACAATGTATTATATCCTGTTGGTAAAGATCATAAGTTTACCTCTTTACCCAAGTTCATAAGCTGATAAATTTCTAGAAGTTTCTTTTTATTGACTTTTTTATTGAGTTTTGACCCACTTTATCTGCGATTATAAAACATTTCTTGAAAGTACTATAATAAAAAAGGCTGGCTTTATTTGATAGAAAATCAAGCATTCTAGTACTATATAGATATCGTCTTATTTTGCAATACATATTTTTAAACGTAGGGTCATGATTCACTAGAAATTAGTAAATAAAAATAAATAAAATAATTTTATTAAATAATTAACTATTAAAATATCACTAATGTTACTGATAACATAGGCCTGCTTTATAATGCTATCGGTTGTTGAATTTGGTGAAGTATTTGCTCAAATTTGACTATGTGTATTTTCCACATAATAATCGTTAAAATTTGATAAATATGTCTTAATTATTTTATAGAAAGGATGGTTATTATCTTTTCAATAAAACAAATCTGACAAAAATATTAAAGATGCTTTATTATAATTTTTTCATTTCTAACGCAAAGTAAATGTCTATATTCTAAAAACTATTTTTACATATTTATCAAATGAGTCTGATCAAAATAAAACTGCGTATATATCAAAGAATACTGGAATTAAGTTATCAAGTAAATCAATTATAGTTCAGTACTCAATATCTTTACAGATTTATTCAAATTTATCTATTACTTTTGTTTTAATCTTAATTCAGCCTTCTTGTACAAGTTCTAACAAGTGATTTATCCTCTATAGATGGGGTTTTTTTGCTAACATTTTATACTTGCCAAATATGAAATGGAATAGGTTTTCAAAAAAAAGATGATATATTAATAAAACTTATTTGTGACTGTTTAATAACACATAGAGTAGACCTAAAATAGGTAGAAATACTTTAACTTTACGAGATAATCCTTCTGTATATAATGCCTTTTGAATAAATATCTGGCCAGGCCAATTAGCATAATTGGTACAACCTGATTATCTAAATGCTTTGCTTTATCATTTATAGATAGAATAAGTTTAAAGCATTAATATAATCTTATACTAAATGTAAATGTTGCTCTTTAACTAGTTGAAAATTCTTTGTAGATCGTTCATCTTTTCACTCTGCAATATTATTATTATAAATGTGTATCGTCAACACTTCAATTTGATCATATTCATTAATATTTAATTGTCTTTGTGAAATCTAAAATGTTTGATTATCTAAGTATGAGGTATCAAATACTTCACTATATTTTCATATCAAATACCAGTTAATTCTTCATGCTTTTACATTAGATGAATTATGAATTGATTTGCCATTAAAAGTAAGTAGTACAAATTGGGAGCCTGTGACAGGTTTTGCTACACATATAATAAAATGTTTTACTGCTGAAGTTGAAACTGTATCTGATTTACAAATTTTATGAATCGCATAGTAATCATCTATGTTATAAATATGAAATACATCTCGCTAATAAAAAAAATAAATTATTGTTCGTTTTTGTACATTTTTTTTTAATTTTTTTAATTTTTGTTTCTTTTATTTTAATTTTTTTCTTTATTTCATTCTTTTTATTTTTATTTTTTTTTATTCTTTTATTAATTATAATTTAAGATATACATTTTCTATAAAGTGTTATTCAATCTTTAATATATATTCTTTTTAGAACTTTTTATGAAATTCATCCACTATTTTAGTACATGCTGAATACCTAAGATTTGATATTGTATTAACAGCTTCCCATATTATATCCAATGCCATTAAATACAAACTAACTTTTAATTTATATTGGTTAACAAATTTGTTTTACAAACCTGCTATTGTATAACATAGTCTAATGATTGCTTTTTTTGCTTCATTTAATTGTATGCAGAATGTTCTTTAAGAATAACCAAATTTATCATATAATTAAAAAAGCCTTTGAGTTAAGGATTAGTATCTTCAATTATACGTTTAAATCTTAATAGATCTAATTCTAAATTTACATATTCTTGGCATTGCTGATAATACAGTGCTTTTGTTAATGTTTGAAATTTTGAAGCAAACGTGAAATCTTAACAGTTGGAGCTTTTAAGTTAATAAAAATATTTATATAAAATATTACAACTAAATACTTGCCTGTATTATCATTAGGTCTGATATTATTATTATTAGACTTTATTGATTCTAATATTCCTCTATTTTATTGAGTTGTTAATCTTTTTCGTATATATTTTATTTTCTTCGTTGTTTCCTTTCAGCCTTTACTTTATTGCAATAATGCAGGTAGCATAGTTGTCCTCCTATTTCAAGATAAGGTACGTTTGTAACATTTTGTTCTTATAGCATTTATCATATGCAAATTTCATAATAAGACAAAACTTAATATTCAAACGCATACAATTCATAATAGAGCAAGGCCTAAAGTTTTTAGTTTATACATATTATGTAAAATAACTCGTTAAAAAAATTAAACTAAAAAAAACTCAAGTATACAACTTGTTATGCAGATGATAAACTTATTTTTTGAGTCATTAAATTTGATCTGACCAATCACAGTTAGTATTTATTTATCAAATAACAGCCAATCATAGAGAAATTTAGTCATGCTAGACTATGGTTAAGTCCAGAACGATCTTAACTAAAAAAATATTGTAAAAGCCAATTAGCATCGACTCAATTTTTGAGCGAACAAACATCAAGACACTTTACGTCAGTATTAGCAAGTGACTTTATATAACTAAAATGACTTTATGACCAGGTTATAAGTCATTTGGTCATTTTAGTTAGATAGATTTATGTGATTTAGTCATAAAAATAATATATATTACAATCATGCGATTATGCTTAAACATTTAAAAAAAATATATTTTTACAGAAATATTTGTTTATTTATTGATTTATTTAAAGTGCAGAATAAATTTGATTTGTTTCTAAATAAATTGGTAACTTTAAATTCAAAACAAATAAAGATGCTAATGACCATTTTATCATTAAATAATCAGCAAGATGAATTATTCTTCCTTCAAAATTAAAATTATTATTCATTTTATCAGTTAAAAATATTTTATCATTAGAATAATCAAACTTATTTTCATGCTTAATAACTTTAATCCATTTTTCAATATATGTATTTTATTCTTATTCTTGTTCTTCAGTTTGAGGTTCAACAGGTTCATTTAAAACTAAATCATCATTTTTATTATTTATATCATTATCTTTATCACTAATTTGTAAATCATTATCTGATAGATCATTAAATTTGGGAATTATCTAAACTATTATCTTGTGTTACTATATGTAAATACTTAACTTTAATATCTAATTCTTTTGTATTTTTCTTTTGATAATAATAAAGTATATCACTTAAGATTTGACTCATTGCTAATACTTTTTTACTTTATAAATATTAATAGAATAATAATTATTAATTGATTAGAATTTTAATATTATTAATATAAATATATACCTTTAATCTATTTTATCTATTTGTATAAAGAAAGCTTATACTACTCTAAAGCTTTTATACTGATTCTGAATTTACATAAATACCATGAATATATATTACAACTTTTATAAGTTCTGAACTAATATCAGCTATAAAATTCTAATAATTTACTAAATTATCTTTAAATTGTAAAAATATTTCAATGTCATAAGGATCTTTATCTTATTTGTAAAAATCATTTTAGCTACAATTGATGAAGGATAAAAATCAAAAAAAAAGCCTGATAATAATATTTTAACCATTTGCTAAGATGATTTCATGTTAAATTATTATTTATGACTCAAAACTTTTCCATTTTATATTGAGGATAAAGAATAATAGAAAGTATAAGAAGTAATTATTCCTATTCTTTTAACGTGCCTTAAGTCTTTTAATCATTCAAATACTAAAATCAAAATCCTGATGATTTTCAAACATTCTAATAGTATATATAAAACAATGTATTACTTCAAATAATCATGCAGTATCTTTTTATAGTTTATTTAAAAAATCACATAAAGGATAAAGTATATGTTGTAATGTAAAAAGAGTTATCTAGAATTCTGAATTATTTATAGTATTAGCAATATCATTAAGAAGTTTTTGATTATTATTATAAGTTAAAGATTTATTTGCAGGTATTGAAGATACACTATTTTAACATATGATATTAGCTTGATGTAGATTAAATTTTGCTGAAATAAACTAAAATAATAGAATATTTGTATATTAATATATGCTTGATATTAATTAATAATATTATTAAATTAACATTATAATATTTATCTTTAATGTCGCTTAAGTTCTTAAAATTGAATAAAAATAAAAATAATAACTATTCCATCTATTATCACCTAAAGATACTAAATATATATGTTTATTATAAAGTCTCATTTGCTTACCATGAAGATTACCAGTAAAAAATACTGATTTATTAAATAACTAACTAATTAAATTGCTTCTTTTGATACTCTTTGATATAATGCTTGTTCTTTAAAAATTTCACCAAAAATGAGATTCATTTGGTAAACCATACAAGGTAAAAAGATTTTACTTGGATATTGTCTTTTTATTTGTTATCTAAAATAAAGTTAAGTTATTAAGTATTAATCTTATTCTAATTTATAATAATTAACTATTTAAAAATTTACCTTGCTGCAGCATATTTATTGACTGAATCTAAAACAAATACCTATATATTAACTTTTTTTTTCTTAGCATCTTTCATTAATTCTTCTATATGTAAAATAACATCAGCTGTATGAGATTACTCAGAACTTATTTCATATACACCTAAACTAAAAGTTTACCTTTTGATGTAATAAACATTATATCCCATAATTATTTTATCTTTACATTCATCTATCCATCAAAAGCAGCTGTAACTTTATCTTTATTATTTTCTGCAATTTTTATAATATTTTATTGAAGAGATTTAGTTATATTCTTTAATATTCTATTACTAATTACTTTGTGATTAGAAAGAGTAAGCCCAGATACAACAAATTCAAATAGTACTTTAGTTTCTTCATTATTCACAAAAGAAAAAGGAAGACCATTTGAAACTGTCATTCTAAGAA